GAGATTCCAACAGCTTTCCTTCAACAAATGGCTAGAATAGCCCTCAAATCACTGTCAGAACCCCATATCCTACCCAGGTGTTTCCTAGATTTACTGAACCCACATACTTTTAATATCTCTAAAGATAAAAAGCCAAAAAAAAGTTAAAAGGTTTTGCTATATTTATTTTTTCTCCTCAAGACTTTCTCTAAATACATAAAGAAGAATAAAAATACACAAACCCTTTTGTTTTCCTTTGCAGTTGAGTTTTAGAATACCACTCATATTACAATCTATAGCCTGAAGCCAACATTTTATTTACATAAAGCACATTAACTTTAAATATTTTAAAATACTTTTTATGCTCATTTAAACTGACTAAATTATTCTTCTCAAATGTAACAACTAAAATAAAATTCAAAATGTATTCCATCTAAGAATCACTGCATTTGTTTTCTCCATAAATGGAAGAAGTGTTCAACTGAAAAGTGTTCACTCTAAATTCTTACTGTTAGCTAAGTTACTCTTTAATTATCATATGGAGTAAATCCTGTTAAGCGTCTCTAGAAGATTATAAGAGCCACTTCAGTCACGTATTTCCATTTTTTCTAGGTTTTCATACTGGGTCTCATGTGAATGATCCTGTATTTCCTTAACAAAAACAAACAAACAAAAAAAGCACAGAGCTTCCAGGCAGAGTGAATGTCAAAATTATGCATTCATACAGCATGAAAGGGTTACTCGCCCTCTGCAATAATTGAGGTTCTTCGAGATGTGTCCCTGTGGGTGCTCCACCTTAGGTGTTTGGGTATCACAGCAAGCCCGGCTGGAAGATTTCAATAGCAGTGCTAGTGACAGGTAGTTGGCGCACGCACAACACACTCCACGCGCTGGGCAGCTAATGCGCATGCCCGGACTATGATCCCTTCAGTTCCTTCTCTGCCCCGGTACGGATGCATGATGATGCACAGAAGCAAAGGGGGAAGAAGGCTGGATGGAGAGCACCCACAGGTTACCTCAGTTACTTCAGAGAGCGAGTAACCCTCTCTTCTTCTACAAGGAGTGTCCCTGTAAGTGCTCCACCTTAGGTGATTATGAAGCAGTGTGTCCGCTGGAGGTGGGAGCTTTGGTCAGCATAGTGTCCTTATGGACACCCGTGAGGATGAAGTAACTGAACACGGTTCCCCTAGAGGAGTATGTGTCAGGGGTGTAATGGGTTGCGAAAGTATGGGCGGACAACCAGGGAGCTGATTTATAGATATCCGATAGGGGAATGCCCTGGATATATGCAGTTGATGCAGCCATGTCTCTGGTTGAGTGTGCAAAAAGTTGTGCAGGCAGTTTTTTGCTGAAGGCTGCGTATGCCACTCTTATGCATTCCACTATCCATTTGGAGAGTGTCTGACA